TTGAGGCACCCTAGTTTCAAGAAACAGGTATTACTAAGAGGGGAGCTACTGAAAGAAAGCCCCAGGGATCTATTCAATTGCGTCCTCACCGCGGACTACTCCACCGATCCTGACAAACACTTTGCTTTATCGGCGTCGCTGAAGGACGAAAGTAAACTTCCCTCTACCAGAAGATACGTTTACGAATTAACGGGAAGACATCCGAGTACCAGATTCGATCTCGACGTTCGAGGATTCGTGCAGAAACGCGACAACGCGTTTTTCCAGACTGTGAACAATGGATTGTATAAACGAAGTTTTATCATCAACGACTCTGGACAGCTCAACGCCCGTCTCGATCTTAATCGTGACGAGCTCTTTTTCCATCGAGAATACAACGATGCCGTGAAACATTTGAACATTCGCTACCAATCGATCGAGCGACGATACTTTGTGAACGGTAGCGTCGTTAACACCCCGGATCTGAACGCCACCGGTGTTTTCCTCCTCGATCCAGCTGAAAAATTCACTTGGATGACGCTCAATTATACTCCCGGTACGTCCATATATCGATTTTTCTACTTTTTCTTCTCTACTTGATCTCTAGAAAAAGATTCATCTATCTATCTATCTTCGACAGATGGCATAGAAAGCTTACAGATGTACGGAAAGATCCCCGACGCTCGGAACGCCGTGTTCAACATTTGGAGAACCTACGAGGAAGACTTTTTCGTATCCGACGTATCTTTTTACTTGAAACTCAATCATTCTAGATTGATCACTTCCACGCTACGCTGGAGACCCGAACTGAAAAGCGATATTATCGTACGTTCGATTCTTTTTTTCCTTTCTTTGTCAATTCTTCTCTTACGTTCTTTTCCTTTTTCACAGACTAGCGTAAAGAAAACGGCGATGGACGCGTACGATGGTTTGAATAACGATGCCGACAGTTGGAAGCAATATATTAAAAGTGAAACAGTCAATATAATCTCTGACGTGTGGAGCGACGCTCAGGAAGATCTTGAAGAATTTCTCGACGACTGGAAGTGAGTACATAATGTATGTAGTTTATCGATGTAATTTCGATGGAATTTAGTTCCCTACAGCTGCTCGTTACGCATTTCAGTAATTTGAAAGAGCTGCAGAAAGACTTGGACGAGTTGAAAGTGTATCTGAACGATTCGTATAATGCAAACGACTTTTATATCAAGGACGTGGTCGCTTTGGGATTATACGTGGTCGACGAACTCTCGCTACGAAGTCACATACAGTCTTTGCCAAACATCGTGAACGAAATATGGGAGATAATGGGTGAATCGGGAGAGGCTATTAGAAATTCCTTGATTTGGTTAATCGAAACGATCAAGAATGCGTTCAACAAAGTTTCCGAGATCGTGGCCGCTATTCTAAGAGGAGATTCGATCTCTCAAGTGGCGAACATAATCGAAAAATTGTTAGAAAAATACGACAAATTCGTGAAAGATCTTCACGTGTCGTTTATCAAGTACATCGAGAATCTCTGGGTAAAGATCTCCCAATCGATATCGCAGCAGTGGCATAGATTTCTGTTAATGATCGAACCACTTTTCATTCGTTTCATTCACTATTTGGAGACCGTAGTCTGGAAGGCGAGCAAAGAGGTCCTAGACTTCCTTTACGATCGACAAAACGATCTTATCGCGTCTCCTTACTTTGACCGTTTCACAAATTTCACCCAGGACATCGACAAATTGTATCGAGACATCAAAAGTAACGATATCATAACGAATATTCAAAAATACAGCGGCATTATAATACGTTTTCTAAAGGAAAGATACTTCACCTTCGTTCCGTTTGGCAAAGAACTACAGGATATCGTCGACGAGATTATTACCGAATTAAAAGAATTGCAAAAATTACCGTCTATACATTACGCTTTGGAGAAAATGCAACAGGTTTACGGTAGAGTGTACTATGTTTACGAATACCTCGAAGTACGAGCCAAGATAGAAAACGCCCTTCGATTAATTCATTCGAAATTAATGGAAGTAAGCCAAACGGCCCTAGAGGCTGAAAGTCGGTACAGAGAAGCAAAGACAAAGTTCATTTTCGATCCCAATCAAGGATTGATGTGCTTCGAACAAAAGCTTCCAATGTCTTGGCACGCTTTCAATCAGACTCCAGAATTCCACGAGATCCCGGAATTTAGGGCTGTCTCCGATCTCAAATCGTACTTTGTCTCTTCGAATCTAACATTTTGGAGCGTGTACCGATACAAACCATACATGGATCCATTCAACTGGTTTCCACCGTTCAAAGGTAACCACGAAATTTTACTTTCTTCGAGTTCTTTCCGTTCTTCGCCTGCCCTCAAATCAATCTTTCGCGATCGTTTCAGCGCACGCGATGATCGTTGCTTCTCAACACTTTACCACCTTCGATGGACGACACTTGGAGTTTGCCGTTCCTTGCGGTAGCAGCAGAAGCTACTTGTTGGCTCGAGATTTCGTGCGAAACACGTTCACAGTTCTCATCGAGTTTCATGCACAATCGGATCGCGTCACCCACAAAATCATCGTGTTGCTCGGCAAGGAAGCTCTCGAGATCGACTATTTCAACGACGTTAGTGTCTTCGATTTCAAAATAAACACACGTAGACACGATTTTGATATCTTTTTCTTTTGCAGAGCATCAAACGTCTCTCGGAACAAGCGTCGAGCCTGGCGAACGATCTTCAACTTCCAATCGAATTGGAGAACGGTACCACCTACGTCTATCAGACGGAAAGCGTGATTATCGTCGAGCGAAAGGAAAATCAATTACGGCTCGAATGCAATCTGAAATTTAATCTGTGCACATTGGAATTATCCGGTTGGTATCATGGAAAAACTGCCGGCATTCTCGGAACTATGAATTACGAACCGATGGACGATACCACGTCATCGAACGGAATCGTAATGACGGACGTGGGAAAATTCGCCGATAGTTGGTCGATCGATCAAGATCATCGTTGCTCTTCGAACGCTCTTAATTCAACGTCGAAACCGGAACAAGATACGACTGTTCCACTGTTTTGTAACGATCTATACGTGAACAAAAGTTCCGAATTCGTTTCTTGCTTCGACGTGATCGAACCAGGCGAATACTTTGAAATGTGCATCCAGAGCGCGAGGAAATCAGAGGCTTGTACGATCGCTCTATCCTATTTGCAAGCGTGCATGTTCCACGACACTTATCTCAGAATACCGGATGCGTGCACCAATTGCAATATGTTGGACGGTAGTCAGGTGGCGGAAGGTCAATTTAGAAGGTTGGAAGGTGAACGTGTACCGAGATCGACCGACGTGGTCTTCATCGTCGAAGGAAAAGACTGTAATCGTGGTGTGAAAGGAAATCGTAGCATCGAACACTTGGTTGCTCAATTGAACAAAGAATTCAGAGATCAAGGTTTAACCGACAATCGATGGTCATTGGTCGTCTTTGGAGCTGAAGGAGTGCTCGATCATCCGAGGAGCGTTGTCATCGACGGGCAAATATTCACGAAAAACACTGCACGATTCCTCGATTATTTCGATCGTGTCCCCATTGGTGACGGAAGCAGAGATATCTTTGCGGCGATCGCGTTCGCCTCGAAACTTGTTTTCAGAGCCGGCGTTTCAAAGACGTTCATTCTGATGCCTTGCTCGCATTGCGAACCGGAAAATCAAACGGTAAGCCGCGAATAACAAACTCTCTGTTTCTTTAATTGACAAGCAATTTTTTGTTTTCCAGTTGGACTACTCGGTGCTTCATGAAGTTTTATTGGAGCACGGCATCACGCTTCACGTATTGATGGACAGTGATTTCGAATTCGAGAAGGAAAGGTTGAACAAATTGCTGTACGGATTGGACGCAACAAAGGCGTACACGAAGAAAGACGCTAGAATGTTGGTCGGTGATGTCGATTTAAGACGACAAGTGAAACTTCCAAAGAGCGCGCTTGGTTACTGTACACCCTTGGCTCTGGAGATCAATGGAACGATATTCAGCGGCGAGAAATTACGATTCGACAAATTAGCCTCGATCAAAAAGTTTGCCAGCGTTTTCTCCAAGAGGGTGGCATTGACCGCACAACCAAATCCCTGTCAAAACTGCGAATGCACCGCCGATAACAATGGTGTCACGCGTATGGAATGTATACCTTGTGTCTATCCAACACCGATTTCCGTCGATTACGTGAGTTTTCTTTTACTTCACGATTAATCGTTTTTGCTTCGAGTTGAGCCAATATCTTCTTTCCATTTTTACACAGGAAACATTCAATCTGAACGATTCACTCGCCTCTCTACAGCCATTAAATATGGATTATGGCCAGATCGATATCGACGACAGCTGAAACATCGAATTACAAACAGTTAACTACTTGTTAACAGTTAATTACTAACATAACAACCGGCCACGGCCTCTTTTAATATTAACAAGTATTTCAGATTTATCGTAATGTATCAGGTATGTCATAAATTAAGTTATATCTAAATAATTTCTCACGTTTGTAAAATAATAGCCCAATATTTCAATTCTTCGAGTGCAAGTATGTAATTCGATAAGAACATTATTTATACGCATAGATAAGAAAGAGACAGTCTCGTTTATTGTAATCAACGACGCTACACATATTTTGTGTACAGGTTTTCGATTAGAAAATCAGAGTCGACGAACGGGAAAACATACATATTGTAGTTGTTTTCTTACCCGAAAACATATCAACGTCGAGCAAATAATCATAACCTCTTGTCATACGTCAAATTTAACTTATATTATGAATAACGCGTATATTTCTTCCTTCTTTCCTTCATTTCTTTTTTTTTTTTTATGTAGCTTTTGATTGGTCCTTTTTGAAATACCAGTTATCGTTAGATATACCTTTCGCGTGAGTACAGTACTATCCGTTCGAGCGTTATCTTGAATCGTTAACAATTCATAAAATATCATATGGTTTAACCATTTGATAAAATGGCTTTAAAGTAACTAAGAATATTTATAGTCCCGATCTTTGTTGAAGATATTTTAACACCTTTTTTTTTTTTTTATTATACATATCTGTTATGGCGATGCACGAGCATGGCAAGGATATGAGTCAAAATCTTTTGACACGAGATTCTAAGCCCTCCGCGATAATCTGCTCCTCACCCCTTCCACTTTGAACTATTGCCATACTAGTAAAACTAACGTTCATTTATAAATGTAACTGTATGAAATACGAGAAAATAAGAAAATTCCATAACATTCTCGTTCATAAGATCCATTTGCAAAAGCTAAATACATAGGTGATTACTCTTTGAGCAGAAATTGAAAATTTACGTGCGTAAAGGAAAGCTTATATGTAATCGTTACTTAAAAGAGCAACCAGTTGCAATTGATATATAAAATTTTTCACTTATGCAATTATATTATATTACATATATAACATAATATAATTATAACATACACGTACTGTACATACAAATATAATACGAATCGTGAATGACGATCGATTCGTTGCTTGCGCATATGTATAACTTTGATAAACTAAAAAATGGCGAGAAAACTTATCGTATTAACTTGATTTACTAGAAATAACAGCAATAGTAATAAAATCTGTATAGATCAATCGGATCTTCGAGAAACGTAACGGGGGAAAAAAGAGAAAATGAAAAATAGGGCTTATTCTCGACTGCAGAACTGAATGATCAGGCAATTTGAAATCATGTTCGAAACAAAATGGCCGCGAGTTATTTGATAAAATAATGTTCTTAGCCGCTATTACAATACCGTTGTCTAAACGTATTGTAAAACGGTCACCTCGTATCGTGAGCTTGCAAGTGATTGGGGGCATCTGCAAATGTAAATTTTAATTTGTACGCTTCTGCGACCAATATTCCTATCTCCGAATCTGTCCAATTTTGAGTAGGCAGGTTTTGTAGCATTAGCATCAGTCCCTAAACAACAATATAATATAACGTATCACCTATGACGTTATATTACATTATTTAATAATATAATTTAACGCTTACTTGAAAGTCGGGTTGTAAAAGAAGGTGACGTCTCCAACGAAGAAGAAACGCGGCACATACGTAAAGCTGAAACGAAGCGAATCGATCGGATTCCGCCAAGTAAGTATCCCATAGACGAATCGTGCAATGAAGAGGAATTTCTCTCGTCAATAAATTATTCATCCACCGAAAGGAAAACTGTAAGTAATCCACTCCGTGTTGATGTAAATGTTGATGTAACGGGGCTGAAAAAAAATGAAAAGTCACGAAGAAAAAGTAACGTTTCGAATGATATATTTTTAAAACGTAGCAAATTATGTACCATCGATTCTTTGTATAAGCTCTTTCAACTGGTTCACTTTGTGCTGAATACCTAATTGAGCAAAGATATAATTATCTTGAATACCATCGAGAAACTTAGACAAGCACCAAAAACTATCTGCTTCTATAATATTTCTTTGCTCTTTTTCTAACGATGCTACATCGTAATTTTCCAAGTCTTGCCATGCTGACATGGGTACTGCTTCTTGTAAAAATACCAGAAAGAAAGGTGTCACGAGATCGTTCATTCCCTACATAAGAGAATAAAATACAAAAAAGAAGAAATGCAGTTAAAATTGATTCAAGGGTGACATATAAGAATACACAGGTACATCGAACGCACTTGAACGTATCCAGAAGCGGGATGACGAATTGCCCAAATATAAAGTATTCTTTCAAAAATTAATTGGACCGTTGTTTGCTGAAACAACGAAATAAGTGGTGACATTCTTGGAATATCAATATGAATTTGCCGATATGTGTCTTGAAATCCCTCGTCTCTTTCAGTATCATAATACTGTTTCACTAAATTCCAATAATCTACACGTTTACGTTCTAACACATGTTGTCTTCGTTCTAAATTGGCTGGCAAATATTCCTGCATGATGAAAACAGAAACGATAGTTTTACATTTTTACGTAGAGTTTGTACGTTAAGTGGAAAGATACGGTATAGTTTACCTTTCTTACTTACAGACAATAGCCTCCAAGTAACGGAACGCAGTCGCGCAGGTATACCTGACCATGACAATTGTCTTAATTCATCTAAATTTAACACAGAAGCTTCCAAAAGGGCTTGAAATTTATCTACTTTACTTTCGCCATCTGAAAATATTAATCAAAGTAAGATTATACCGGATTTGAACGAATACAGAAAGAAAGAAAAATCACTGCATTAGCACCTTGTTCTTTAGAAGGTATAAAAAATTTCGAAGGCGCATTCGTTTGTCTCAACGGTTGCGGCCTACCCGGAAATTGTGTCGGTTTGTGTTGAGGGGAAGCACCATATTTTACATCTGAATCTTCTGTGGAATGTTGACTGTTATTTACTTGAGAATGTATAGACAAATTAGCATTTCTCAAGTGCAAAGGCTGAACAGCTAATCTTTGCAAAGCCTCTGCTCTTTTTTCTTCAGGAATAATTTCTTGTACCCGTTGTTGAGGTTTTACACCCATTCCTGATTCTATACACGATTTTCTCGAACGGTGACTATTAATAACACTAATAGCAGCAGACTTGCTGACTCTTTTTGATATCTTCACATCAGAAACGGTACAAAATTCATCATCTCCCGAATCCCAAGCATCGTCTATACTTTCTTGAAAATCTTGGAAAGATGTAGAGCCACCGCTACTTCCGGATATACCTCCGCTACTGCTAGACACTGGATTCGTTGAACCAGGTATAAGGGTGGTAGCGCTTCCTTTACCAACTTTACCATCTTGCTTGAGGCTTGGTCTTTTATTATATTTGTCACATATAAACAATTACATCATAATTAATAATCAACCCTGAATGTTTATTATAATTTATTTTAAACATCGTCGGAAGCAACTCTAATTTTATAATCGCACGATGCTATATAAATTCAACTTACCTCCCTGGAACGGCGCGTGTATTCTTTTTCCAAAATGACTGATGAGTCTGATAAGCTTGAGTATGGTGACTTTGATTTTCCATAATTGTTAGAAATTATGTTAACTGGCACCTGCCACTTTTCCAAGATAATTGAAAACACAATACAAATTCCTCATTCCCTTAGAAAGAATTACTGAAAAAAAAAATACAAAATTCATACCATCGATATTTATACTGTTTATTAAAGTCTTCCACATTACATTTTCTTTTGCTGTTTATTTCAAATTCTATGCAGCATATCATTACATACGACAGATAACAAGAATAAGGAATATTAACCAAATTATGTAATCTTGTTAGCTTTCTAATTCATATTACATTTAGTTCATATATATATATGTATATTATACATATATTTGAATCTAACTAACTTGATTAATCATCATTTTGCTCATCTTCAATACAAAATTAGTCATTATTAATAGTACATTACTTACACATATTGTACTGTCCATTCATCATATTTTAAGAATCATCAGAAAGATAGTCTCTTAATATTTATATAAATATTATACTAAGGATTTATGTTAAAATTATATTTAAAATAATATTTTCGAGATGACATGCAAGATTAAATGTAAACACTGCTATGTAAAAAGACATTGAAACTTAATTGAAAACATAAAGACTATGTCATCAAATTTCATGCTCTAGCTTATTAAGAGTAGGTTATGTTTTATATCACAAATATTTCGATAAAAGTTGATGAATAGAATAAAATGAAATTGCACAGTTGTATCTAGAAATGTTTAAATGTCAACATCGAAAGAGTTAACGCAGCACCTTAATCATTAAATAATTCTTAGAATGTGGAATACTATGCGCATAAGGTAAATGATTTTTGTTTTACATAATTGACATCACGATGATACGCACAAAAATAATCATATTACAAGATTTATGATATAAGACGATCTCTCGAAAATTTACCAAATATCAAGCGATATGCTGTATAAAAACCTCATCTTGTAAACGCTGACTGTTTTTTGACGTATAACACATCCATACTAGTGCTGCCACTGAAGAAATGGCTAAATTAAATTTTAATACTCTGTATTTATATAAATATGTTTGTAGGTATGATATATATATATATATATTGTACATATTTCTCAACATTTCTTTACACATTACTTAAAAAACATATCTCTTTTTATCATCGACCAGTTCCTGTGTTTTTATCAGACATTTTATAATATAAATCTCAATCAAACTGAAGACCGTGCGGATAAAAAATCATTTCGAATCATAATTGTAAATAATTATACAAATAATCTATTAAGATTTATGAATATCATGTTCATAAAATAAATACAAAGTGGCAAAGAAAGCCAGATCGAGTAGAGTTCATTTTATCGCAGACGTATTGTAGCTGCAGTGAATGCGACGTTGTAAGAGGAAATTTGCGGTGATTTATACCATTTCACGTTTCATTTTTCAGTTGTTGCGATAGGATATTTCTTAGCCTTGAACAAGCAAATAAAAATACCATAGAGTTGCATTAATGTTACTGCCATTACAAACTCTCGCGATTAGATCGAATGGTCGAGCTCACAATCGGTATGACAGTCGTGCCTGTTTTACCAGTTCCTCTTATACCACACTCCGCACTCACAATTGAAAACATACAATTTTGACTCTCTTTAATTCCATTTTAATTAAGATTTAATTCATTTAATCTTTATAATTTTAAAATAGTATAACATTGTCATAAAATCATTGCGCCATCTATACCAAAATGGTGGAAACTACTCAGCAACTTACCGACGGAACTTCCGACACAAGGAACAGAGGACCGATCGATAAGTCGAAACTGGTCGTAGGTGCGGTCGGTAAGTTGTCAAGTAGTTTCCGCCAATTTTGTATAGAGGGCGCTGGGATCGAATTTTAAAAACATTTCGAAAACAAAGTCATGTCTGGCAATCGTTTTGCATCTGCAGCAGTGACTACAGATACAAGCTTCACTGCTGCTCCTTTTGTTGCTGTAATATGGCAAGGCTGGAGTAATGGGGTATAGGTTTTGATATCGAAACAGTCTGTTATTACCATCAAAGTGCGTTAGACTGTTGCGGTACGAAGTATTTCTGATTTTTATCCTAGGATAAAGCAGATGGCGTTCGTTCTCAAAGCACCATGACCCTCTGAGAGGAAAGGCAAGCATAATCAGTAGCGTCAGCAAGCGTCAGTCGGACGCGTGCCCATACACCGTTCTCTTCACGATCATGTATTTCAACAAATCTTGCAAATCTTAAACGAAAATGTAAAATTATCTATAATCTGTACCATTTTAACGTACCGTGTATTAAAATCAGGTTATATTGCTCAGAAATGTGCATTGACAGACGCTAGTTTCTCTGTTTTTTAGTGAACTATTTTTATTGCCATTTGATGTTTAATAAATGGTAAGTCAGACGTATGTAATCATTTGTAACGGTTCAGAATAGATTTTAGGTGATTTTATTCTGTTATATTTCAAGTTCCGTTTGTTGAACGAGTTGAACTTTCTTGTCAGCATAATTTTGTTATGAATTAGCGAGAGATCTTTATAGGCCTGTCGTACCATCGTGTTAATTCAATTATACTTTCTTTGTAACACTCTACTTTCGATTGCTTCCGGTTTCTTTCCACTGTTTGATTGTTATTTTATGATTTTCTTTTTTCAATTAAATACACATTTAATCATTTTAACAGCATTATTTGTATTTACCTTCTTACATACTTGATCCATTTCTCTTTTTGTACTGTACAATATTTAATTATTTCTCGTTTAAATTGCTAATTAACTATAATTAATAAATATTACAACGAATTTTCGGAAAAAGAGACATATTGTGTAACATATGTATAATTTTTTATTTTTATTGTGTTATCTCTTTTGTTTTTGCATGTGTTTTAGAAACACAATTAATTTTGAAGAGGTTGTAATTCAAAAACTACAGAATTCAATAACAAGTTTCATACAGCTTGTGATAAATGAGCTACTTCAATACTACAGTTGTTGAAAATTCTTAGACTTTATTAATGGCATTTTCTAAAAAAATTTGTAATTCTTTTGTTAGAAGAAGTGCACTTGACATTATCATATCATATTTATCAGTAGGTGATTAGCTGTGGAGTTGCTGAGCAATAACTTAAATTGTTAAATTTGGTTTTGTATCAATTGTAACAAATAAAATATATTGAAAACATAAGTATAAACTAAATACTTTTATTGTTAAATATTAATAAAAAAAGGAATGCATTGTACTTTATCGTGCATTGCATTATTTTATAGTAAATCTGCGAATTGTAGTTTTATTGAGAAACTAGAAAAGCAATGACCTAAAATTAAATGAGTACACTTGAGAAATCTGACTGAAAGAATAACTTTCTCCTCTAATAATTAATCTTTTTTGGTGCATAAAAGGATCAACTTAATAAATATGTATATGATTCTTATTAAACATAACTATGTTATTTCTTATGTGTAGATCAATACATTGGATAACATACTGTTTTACTTTTCAAGCATATTTTAGATATTAATTCAAAATGTCAGACATCGAAGAAGACGAGGTATGTACATTACTTTAATGCTTATTGTATTGTCATTGTTTTAACAAAATTGTAATTTTAATATTTTAGTTTCAAGATGCTCAAGAATCCATTTCACAGTAAGTATTTTATACATGTACATACGTATGTATTATATAAATTAATTGTATCTTGTTTCCAGGCCTACTTCCATGGATTTAGATACAGCAATAATGGAAGCAAAGAAAGCTATACACTATTTTTTTAATAATGATTTTGAAGAAGCACGAAAAATTATGGAACCCTGGGCAAGCAGTAGCATATATCACTCTTTAGGAACAAGTGTATTTGCATTCCTTGAGGCTATTTTTACATTTGAACAAGTATTAAATTGCAATATATTGTGATATTTGGAAAAATATATTGTTCAATAATACATTGTAACATGTATTACTTAGAAACAGATTGAGAAGGCAGCTGGAGCTGTAAAGCAATGCATGAGCGTATGCTTAAAACATCGTAAACATGCAACATTAACAGAGAATATAGGCAAAATGGTCAAGAAGACTAATTATGATACTTATACAATTGGTAATTATATTTAAATATACGTACAGGGTAGCGTATACATATGTACAGCATGTTTTGTCAAATTATTTGCATTGCTTTTTGCCAATCCTGCATTATGAAATGATGAAAAGCACTTGAAATTATCGGTAGAATTTTAACATTGAATGAACGGCATAACATACTATACTAACGGCATTAATAAGTATTAATCATCTAGAGAATGATAGAGAATTAATATTACAGAGGAAGTGCATGCGGAACTATGTTATGCCGAATCACTTCTTTTAAAATCGATGCTCACGTTTGTGGAGGACGAGACATTGGTCAGTTTTGTCAAGGCTGGATTGAAAATTCGTACCTGCTTTCTGTCGTATAAGTAAACAAATATATCATATCGCAATTTATCTATTCCATTTTACATAGCAGTATAAAACAATGTTTCATACACGTATTCTTTTCTTTTAGAGAATGTTTAACAATTTTAAATAGTCGTAAATGGGAAAATGAGATTCATAAAATACATTTCGAGAGTGGTGTCCGTACGGGAATTGGTGCATTTAATTTGGTATATATCATTGTTTTTATTACATAAAATTCTTCCTGTAACACGATTCAATGATAATTTTTATGATTGTGTAGATGATCTCATTGTTACCAGCAAAAATTATCAAACTTCTAGAATTTATTGGATTTTCCGGTGATAAAGTAAGTTTCTCCATAGGTACAGAGATATTTTATATTGATTTAATAATATTTTTGTCAACAGGAATATGGTTTATCAGAATTAGAAGCAGGATATAAAGAAAGAAGGGGTTTACGGCACGTATTGTGCGCGATGATTCTTTTAGCTTACAATTTAATAGCATCTTTCGTTTTAAGTCATACGGATGGTGATTTGGACTTGTGCGAAAAAGTATTAGAAGAAGAATTAAATCTCTACCCAAATGGTGTATGGTTCTTATTTTTTAAAGGCAGATTAGAACTAACAAGAGGGAATTTTGAGAATGCCTTAGAATGGTATACCAAGTCTTGGAAAAGTCAAGACGTATGGCCTCAGTTTCATCATATTTGTTTTTGGGAATTAATGTGGGCACATTGTGGGCTACAACAATGGAAGCAAGCTGCAACATTCGCCGGTACTTTGGCCAATGAATCAAATTGGTCGCGTACTATTTACTTATATCAAAAAGCTGCGATTCTTATAATGCAGAATCCACCGACGAAAAGCGAAGAGAAAGAAACGATAGATACTTTAATGATGAAAGTACCTACGTACAAGCAACGTATCGCTGGCAAGTCATTACCCATGGAAAAATTTGTTATAAAAAAGGCTGAACGTTATTTTGCCCAAAAGAAAAATCTAGTCCTTCCTGTATTTGAACTTATGTATATGTGGAATTTATTCCGCATGATTGGCAAACGGCAAGATTTAATGTTAAATATATTTAAAATAATAGAAGACGCTGAAAAAGAATTGAAAAAGGCGACGTAAGTGATTTCAGTTTCACCTTTTTATTTCCAACCTGATGTTTACATCTACATAAGTACATATCAATTAAACGCTATTAAATTGCCTTTTAAATATTCAACAGAAAAACGGAATATCATGCCGACAACGAAGCACTTATCTTGCTTTTAAAAGGTGCTTGTTTACGGCAAATGAAGCATTCTTTGTTGGCCGAAGATTGTTTAAAACGAATTTTCGAGCTGGATAAATCGATTAGAGAAGATACCTATTTACTTCCTTATGCAACGGTCGAATTAGCTTTGGTAGCACAAGATCGAGGAAACATGCAACTTGCTATTGGATTTCTAGAGGATGCCAAGTAACCGATTTTTATTTTCATTTTTTCATTTTACATTTTAATCGGTAACTAATTTATTTATTTTTGTTTACAGAAAGAACTTTACCGGTTATATGTTAGAATCTAGATTACATTTCAAAATTCATTCCGATTTAATGCGATTAACAGGAAAGAAGTCAGAAGATGTACTAGTATAATGAAATTTGGAAATTATGATTTCTGTAAAAAAAAAACTTGTTACTGCCAATAGTATCGCTATTGCAGCTTGAAGCACAGTTTTATTAACAACTTGTTCTCATGTAACAAACTGTTGCATACTTTCTAATCTGTTTTTCTTTTTTTTTTGGAAATTATGCATTTTGTTGACATCAACTTTTCCATGTTACAGAATGTAATGTAAACATTTTAACTGATTTTTACCTGAGAACCAGTATCTTATTTTTAGTATTTGTTAACTATAATATACATATACTTAGTTGCACTTGTCATAGCTAGTTCACAAGGTTTAGACAAAGGTTAAGGAATTAAATTATTTAATTTAAATTATTTTTGTTATGAAAAAATTAATAGATCTTTATGGGTAGGTAAAATACCAATATAATTGGTATTAGTAAAACTATCAGTGTCGTTTGCGTGTATATATGCATATATACCGGTTAATACACGTTGTACGAACGATGTTTAATAAATTATAAACTAAATAGTACATACAAGTAAGAGACTAAGGGAAAATAACAAGCTGGTTTACGGTTGTTTGAATTTCTCATAGTGGAAGTTGATTTGTGATTTTGATAATTTATTTGACGCTTTAAATGTTGACGAATACATTCTTATTTTTTAAAAATTCATTACTTAAATCATTAATAAATGTCCTACTCGAACGCGGAATTTATACTCGCGTCTTCATGCATGTAATGTATTTGTGAATTTTTTTTATTCTTTTACGTCACCTTACTAGTTACGTGTTGTCGCTCGTATGTATGTATATTAATTATGTTACTGCCATGTCAGAGCTTGTGTATTTTCCGTGTAAGTACATGGTTATATACGCATTAATGAGATAAATATACGGCGTGTAGTATTCTATTTCTATCTTATACGGGGTGGACCAGTAATTATTAATACCTAAATTATTTTCGGGGCTATAAAAGATGTAGAAAACAAGTTGTTGGAGAAAAGTCTGAAAAGAAGAGGTCATTGCACACTGACAATGATATACTTTTACCACTTAGGACTTAGGAGATGGAAAGATCATTTTGTTCTTTAGCTGAATTACTATTATCAATCTATTACTAACAATAGATATTTAATATCAAATTATTTATAATTATTAAAAATGATATAATCTCCATATTGTATACCGATATGTATCAACATTGTATTATACCATTATTGTAATATTGTAATACTGTAATTATATAATTAGTCAAATATAGTAATAATATTTTGTACTATATTCAAATTATTACTGTTAAAATAATAATTACATACATATGCTGTTAAATGTATCATATTTATTTAGTGAAATTGTTTGTCACAATAATAACGTCATCTATCATAAATAACTAATTACAGATACAAAAAGACTGGGCATGCCTTTGTTACAGCCGGAAAGAATAATAAAATATGATTATTTTTAATTTTTCTTAGTGTATTTCGTTTGTAAATCGTTTGTGCTTGATTATGAGTCTATTTTTAACGTTTGTGACAAATTAATTCTTTTGTAATTAGCAATTTTATTTCAATCATGATGTGAGCCGAAACTTTTTAGTAATCTTTTATAATAAACAGATTTTGTGATAACTGTAATTGATTGGAAATCGTTTGTGATTTACAAATATATCATTTTTATTGTTTGTGAGTGACTAATTTCTTAATTATTTATAAGTTTGTTTTATAATAAATAATTGTAGTGCGCATGCGCTACAGATCCGGTCGTACCCATCACTACCTCGAACAAGTGAGTTACACGATTTGTTCGTTTTTTGTTCTTATATTTCGCTAGATCCGGTCAAACCCATCACTATTCCGAACAAGTGAGTTTCACGATTTGTTCGTTTTCCGTTCTTATATTTCGCTATTTGCTTCGGGGTCCTTGACACCCCGGTGGCAGTATATCGGTATGCAGCGTTACCTGTACCTCGGGGTCTCAGATACCCCGAATGCCATAGTGTCGGTAAGCAAAGAGTGTCATCAGCGCTTAGGGGTCCCTGGCACCCCAAATACCAAAATGTCGGTATACAAACAGTGTCACCGGTGCATCGGGGTTCCTGACACCCCAAGAAGATGTCATGTCGGTATCCAGAGATAGTTGCTGGTGCTTCGGGGTCCCTGGCACCCCAAATACCAAAATGTCGGTATACAAACAGTGTCACCGGTGCAACGGGGTTCCTGACACCCCAAGATGATGTCATTTCGGTATGCAGAGATAGTCAATGATACTTCGGGGTCCTTGGCACCCCGGATGCTATATTATTGGTATGCAAAGATAGTAACCGGTGTTTCGGGGTCCTTAATACCCCAATATGATATTAGGTCGGTACTAACAGGGTGTCATTAGCGCAGAGGGGTCCCTAACACCCCAGGATAATACCAGGTCCGTATGAACAGGGCACAAACAGTATAATTTTTTTCCAGAGTTTATTTAATTTACTTCATTTAATTTTTTTTGCTGATTAAATAAGCTCATCGAAGGGGAATAACATATATGATTGTATCCCTCTTCTGGGTCTCAGCCGAGGACCCCATTTATTTTACTTTTTCCAGTTATTTATATAATTTTATCTCTCATTATAGGTCAAGGCCATCTCAGTATCCCTTACATCCTTGCATCCTCCCAGCATTCCTTACATTCCTGCAACCCTTAAATACCCTTTTTTTTTTTTTTTTTTTTTAACGTGGTGGAAATCTTCAGAAAGACACCTTCAGCCCCTCTGGGGAGGGGCCGGAGGTAGTGTGGGATTTTTACCCACTAAAACCACCACGGCGGCCTGCACTGGGGTGGTAGGGAGGGTCCTTTGACGCTCCGCTATGTGCCAAACTCCGCCGACATCGAGGGCCACGCCCGATGCCGGCACTCCTCGGGCCGCGTGCAGTGGAGACCGGGGCCCCAGCCCCGGACCCCTACGGAATTGCTTTACATCACTCGTTTCGTTACATCTCTGCATCCCTTACATCCCTGCATTCTTTTCATCCCTACATTCTTTTCATCCCTACATTCTTTTCATCCCTACATTCTTTTCATCCCTACATTCTTTTCATCCCTACATTCTTTTCATCCCTACATTCCTTACATCTCTTCATCCCTTAAATCCCTACATTCTTATCATCCCTACATTCTTTCCATCCCTACATTCTTTTCATCCCTACACTCTTTTCATCCCTACATTCTTTTCATACCTACATTCCTTACATCTCTGCATCCCTTATAATAAATATATTATAAAGACTGCTTCGAGTAAAGGTAAGTAAAGGCAAGTTGGGTTAGGTTTTTCGAAATTTTCGCGAAATTCTCGAAAAAATAGCGCCCCCTAGCGACAAAAATTTGAACTAAAATTTCGATGTCGAATCAGCGCCATCTGGATTTGGAAAAAGAAACTAAAGCTTGCTCAATTTGTGGCCCTCTGACGGCAAAAATGTGAACTAAAATTTCGATGTCGAATCAGCGCCATCTGATTTTGGAAAAAGGAACTAAACCATGCTCACTTTCTGGCCCTCTGGCGGCAAAAAAGTGAACTAAAATTTCGACGTCGAATCAGCGCCCTCTGGTGGCGAAAAGAGGAACTAAATTTGTTTAAAATCGCAGCCCTTATAGCCACAAAAATTTCAACTCAATTTCAGGGAGGTACTGATATGTATGGAATGCAGGAATATAAGTGATACAAGGATGTAAAGGATACAGGCATGTAAGGGATGCAGGGATGTAAGGGATGTTAGGGTGTAAAGAATGCAGGAATGTGAGGAATGCAGAGATGTAAGGGATGTAGAGGTGTGAGGAATGCAGGGCTGTAAGGGATGAAGAGATGTAACGAACGTCGGGATGTTAGGAATGTAGGGATGTAAGGAATGTAGGGATGAAAAGAATGTAGGGATGGAAATAATGTAGGGTTGAAAAGAATGTAGGGATGAAGAGAATGCAGGGATGTGAGGATTGCAGAGATGTAAGGGATGTAGATGTGTGAGGAATGCAGGGATGTAAGGGATGAAGAGATGTAAGAAATATCGGGATGTAAGGGATAAAGATGTAAGGAATGTCGGGTTATAAGGGATGAAGCGGTGTAAGGAATGTAGGGATGAAAAGAATGCAGAGATGTCAGGAATACTTCATGTAGGTGCCTTTATCAGTGAGAAGACATCCCGAAAACCAAGGCATACCTAGTCTTGTTGAAAACTATAGTCAAAAATAAAAAATTGAAAAAATGTGATTTTGGCGCCATCCATGATTGAATGTTAAAACTTCAGTTCTATAAGGTGATAGCATGGTTTCTACACACATATCAAAATGAAACTTGACGATTAGCAATAGCAAGTGTAGCTCGTTGATATAAAAGAATTTCAGATCAAATAAGATTGCATGGGTAAGGTTACTTAATATTAAAAAGCGTTCAATCACGTTCAATTATTACATGATGTTTGGGGAATGATCTAACCTATTTTATCAATCGCTGAACCGGCTTTATGAGATTATAAAACATAAAAACTATAATTAACTATGCGCTATCCTAGTTTATTTTTTATTTAATGTGATATAAAATTGCATTAAATTGTTTGTTGCAAATTATTGCTTGTATAAAAATTAGTGATTAAGGATAATTAATTTGTACCATCTAAACGATGTTCAGGTAAATAATTGTTGTATAGTTAAAGATAGAAATATAAACTATGCATGATAGAAATATTTGTATTTTTAAAAGTTAAAGAATAAAGCAACAAAGATCAACACAGCAGCGCAATGGCGTTAGACGTTCAGGGTTCTCTTAAAGAAGCCTTATACGAAACATTAACTGGGATATTGTCTCCTCATCGAGGAACTCGTCAAGCAGCTGAGCAAAGGATTCAAGCATTAGAAGTTACAGAAGAATTTGGTATACATTTAACAGAATTTGTAGTAGATCCCAATGGACACTTACCTATCAGACAGTTGGCATCTGTATTGTTGAAGCAATACGTGGAAACACACTGGTCTTCTGTGGCTGAAAAATTTCGTCCTCCTGAAATAAAGCATGCAACAAAGGAAAAAATCAAAGAATTACTGCCACTAGGTCTTCGCGAATCTATTAGCAAGGTAATTCATTTAGAATCGGGTACACGTATGGATTATTAATTGTTAAAATTGCTTGATTCAGGTGCGCGCAGCAGTAGCTTACGCGATATCGGCAATCGCGCATTGGGATTGGCCTGAAAATTGGCCAGGTTTGTTTGATATACTTGTCAGTTGCTTAAGCGGAGAAAGCGAGTATGCCGTTCACGGAGCAATGAGAGTTTTAACCGAATTTACATCTGATCTTACCGACAATCAATTACCTAACGTGGGACCAGTAATTCTTCAAGAAATGTACAGAATATTTCAAAGCGAAAACGTAAGTTAAAGTCAACGAATGTTTTCGCTGGTAATAAAAACATAATTTCATGTATTGCAGCAATATTCAATTAGAACTCGCGGTCGTGCGGTTGAAATATTCACGACGATTACGACATTGGTCGCGAATACAGGAGTATATCAAAAAGGATTCACGGAACAATACCTGCAACCAGTTATTCCAATGTTTTGTCAGAAATTTGTGCAATGTTTGCGAGTGCCCGACGGTCCAACCAGCGACAGCGGGCTTAAGGCCGATGTGATCAAAGCTATAAATTGTCTTGTCACTAAATTACCCAAATACGTATCAAGCTTTTTGCCTGAGATGTTACCGCCTGTTTGGGAAACTTTAACGCAAAGCGCGAAAATTTACCAGGAAGGATCTGTAAACGGAGATGGAGATACGAATAATAAAGAGGTTGATTCGGACGGTAAGTTTTCTTACATACATGTAGATATTTGGATAAATTGAAAGTTGTTTCTAATGCTCCCGTTATTTCTAACCAGGTGAAGTGATCAACTTCAGTAACTTGATTATCGCGATATTCGAGTTTGTTCATTCCATCCTAGATCGTAAACGTTTTTCAAATCTATTGGATAATTTAATGCAAGAATTAATGTATTATTTAGTAATCTTTATGCAAATAACTGACGATCAAATTGAATTATGGACGACAAGTCCGAATCAGTTCGTCGAAGAAGACGATGTATTCGCTTACAACGTTCGCATTTCCGCGCAAGAACTGTTAACGGTAGGTGAAGATTAAACAGGAAATCGATAGGGATTATATCAGAATTTGATTGTTTTTTCTCGTGTACAGGCGCTTGTAAATTACTCCGAGGAGAAGGCGGTGAACGCGCTTTGCGAAGTTGTAACTCGCCACATCGAAGCAACGAATAGATTACGAAGCGAGAATAACGAAACGTGGTGGAAACTAAAAGAATCTTCGATTTTAGCGTTAAGTAAAATAAAAGATACTACCGTTGAAAAACAACAGGCTGGAATGCTTCAATTCGATGTCGTTAGATTTTTAGACACAATCGTCTTGGCTACTCTAAAAGATTCAGGTAACAATGTTTCTCTAAATTTTTTCATTCCTTTTTCTTTCTTATATCACCTTTTTGCACGTATATCCGCGTAATTTACAGAAGCACCGTCACTACTTCTTGGTCGTTGTTTGTGCGTTGGTGGTAAATATGCCGATATAATGCCGCCAGAAATGAGTTCGCGTTTCCTGGAGGCGACAGTGAATGGTTTGCAAGAAAATCAACCTGCATGCATACGTATAAGTGCGGTAAAAGCTATTTATTGGTTTTGCAAAGCATCGACGTTGGAAAGCAACAACACGCTAGGCAATATTATACGATCTCATTTGCCGAATATATTTCAAGGACTTTTTAATTTGGCCAATCAACCGTCTACAGAAATTTTGACATTGGTCATGGAAACTTTACAAGTGTTGATTGTGGTAATATTCATCAAACTCCATCGATTTAGACACGCTTTAGTGTGTATACATATTACTCTTTTCAGCTGGACAAAGCATTCACCGCTTCGGTGGAGAACAAAGTTTGTCCATTAACTATCGCGGTGTTCCTAAAATTCTATAGCGATCCAGTAATTTTAGATCTCTGCCAAGATATATTCAAAAGTTTGTCCCAGAATTCCGAGTGTATAGGACCGTTGCAGACTCGTTTGATACCCACGTTAACCAGCATGATGGCAGTAACACCTATGGATAAATCAAAAGACGGTGAGGTTTCTTGTATTATTGTTAAATAATTCAAAGCAGGATAAAGAAAGAATATTATTTCGTTCCTCGACAGAGAAATGTCGAAACGTAGCTTTGGACGTTTTGCAAGTGTTGGTACAGTACTCACCGAGACCGTTGAGCAGCGCGTTGGTTGAAACAGCATTTCCGGCCGCGTGTCATTGTATTTTGAATTCAGACGACAACGAAACGCTGCAAAGCGGCGGTGAAGTGATACGTACTTACCTGTCGGTAGCTGCTCGACAGGTGATGGTGCATCGTGACACCGATGGGCAAACAGGTTTACAATACGTACTTCAAATAGTCGGTCAGCTGTTGAATCCACAGGTAAGTGGTATATTTTGTTCGTTGGTATTTCTCGACGAGGACGATCGGTTCGCGTTACTTAACTTGATACGAATAACGGGGGTGTCGTAGTCGAGCGAGTTTACGGCTACTTTTGTGGGACGACTGGTGACGACGTTGATTAGGAAAGCGGGTAACACGCTGGGCGAGAATCTCGATCTATTACTAAAGGCTGTCTTGAGTAAAATGCAACGGGTCGAAACGTTGACCGTGGTACAAAGCTTGCTCATGATATACGCTCATCTGATAAACACCGAGTTTGACGCAGTGTTAAATTTTTTGTCAACCGTACCGGGCCCAACAGGACAAAGCGCGCTCGCTTTCGTACTCTCCGAATGGGTGAGCAGACAACACTTATTCTTCGGTAGATACGACCGAAAAGTGGCTACGATCGCGCTCTGTAAGATATTAGAGTACGGCGTTACTCACGGTGACAGCCGACTGAACGAAATTACCGTCAAAGGAGATCAGATATTCTCAGGTTAGTAAAAATTTCTCGCTTGGTATCGTCCCGATGCTTGTAAGGAAAATATGAAAATATCCGCAACGTGTATCTATAAAATATTTATTCGGAAACAGCAAGTGTCTAACTAAAATTCGAGAATACACAGGAAACGAAGAAGGCGTGAGGACTAGGAGTAAAACCGAATCACAGCCTTATCAGTGGACCACGGTACCGGTTCTGGCTAAGATATTTAAGCTGATAATCAACGAATTGTCCAACGACATTGAAGCAGTCGCTGCGAATCAAGAGACGGACGTTAGTAAACATTCTCTGTTATTCCGTTTGAATTACAGAAGAAAGATTACAAAGAAATGAAAGACGATCGTTTCTTTAAATACGCAGGAATCCGACGACGACGAAGAAGGCGACGGTGATAACGCTTACTTAGATCCGGGTTACGAGACTATGCTACGTAAGTGAGAACAATCATTTTACGTTCTCGGATGCTCTTAATTTTATAACGATTCGAAAAATATTAAAATGTTTTTTACATTGGCGATCAGTGTTGGAAGAAGCTGCAAACGAAGCGGAGGAAGACGAAGAGGATCCAGAGTTGTTGCAAGATAGCATATATCACTTGAACCTTAGTCAATATTTACGAGATTTTCTGTTAAATTTTTCCACCCATCATTGTTTTCCGGCATACGTTCAGCATCTAAACATTCCAGAGCGGAAAGTTTTGAGCAGTTTAAATATCAACGTATCGTTCATGCAATGAATACATAGATAGATTACTAGATAGGGTAAATCGATGAAAAAATTTGAATAATAAAATATGCATTTCTTTACATGGTACGTCTCTGTGTGTTTGTTTCCAAAAATCGAACGATTTTACTTTTTTACGTCAGAGATATTGCACCGTTGCCTCCTTATCGTCGAGTAATCGATCGTGCGAAGGTCCGTTTTCGCGCGTTACACCAAATTCCCGACGATTATTATTTTCGTGTAATACCCATCGTTACATTTATTTTACATATCTACAAAAGCGTACTCGTTTTCTATTCTTTGTCCACAATAAAGTTTCAGCTCGTGTAAAATAATCTACCCTTATACATATATGTATACATATCGTAATGCGAGAAATATTTACAATCGTTATTAATATCGATTTCGCTTTGCCCCGTTCAAATTACCGCTCGTAGCCTGAGTGGTAACAGTAGTATAAGAAGAAGAAGAAGATCGTGTACTCGTGAAGGGGGAAAAAAGGAGTGTAGAACGGTGGCAATCGATCGAAGATGATCGCAAGGTACTTGGATAGGAAGCGAAAACGTAAGAAAGGAAAGGAGAAGGCGCGATTTTTGGATAAACAACTCAAACCGTCGTCACCGAAAGAAGACCCATCAGTTTCCCTCCGGTTCCTGGACCTGCTGTCCCACCGACTCTGTTTCCATGGACCAACATCTCTTGAACGGTAGTAAAATCGTCTAGAGCGTTTTTCTTGCGAGCCATTTTTTTGTGACTAAGCTCTAGGATATTTAACGGTTTCTTCGCGAGTTTCTCGTCCCCGTGTTCGCAGATTAGTAATTCGTTGGTTTGTTGGAGCTGTAACTGTTGCTGTTGCTGGTGCTGAAGCATCAGTTCCTGTTGCCTCTGCTTGCGTTCGCGAGCTCGTTCCAGTTGCCTTTTGCGCTCTTCCTTCGTCCAATATCTGCCGACCTGAAAGAGATGAGTATTAGCTGTGTTCAACGACGCGAGATCGAAATCCATATAATACCTTCGCTTCCGACATGGTGTCGTCCTCCGTGCTGTGACCAGCTCTCTCCTCGGATATCTTAATCGCTCTGTTCCTGAGAATACGATTTCTGACCGGTCTTCTCGCGATGTATCTCGTACCGTCCGCTCTCCGCTTCACCTTCCATTCCATCTGTACGTCGTTGTCTTTACCCTCGGGCGGTACCCATGGACTCGAAGCGCACACTTGTTGACTTCCGATAAACTGGTAACGCGTCAAATTTGGCGCCTGAAAGTTACCGTGAGATTTGGATTTTTTCGCGGTACCACCGCTGTCCCTGAGACCAACGATGGTCGAATTCCTCCGATCGAGCGCGCGTTTGAACAGTTGCTGTTGCAAGAGCATCGTCTGTTGAAGATTTGCCATGTTCGTGTACATGGTATCTGCGGGTAAGGTGGTTGTGGTGGTGGTGGTGGCAGTGGTTGTCGCATTCGTCGGATCGGCAACTCCTCTATCTCTGTAATGATGGGAGGTCGAGCCTCTTCTGGTCGACTGACTCTTGATCTGTTTGTTCGCGGATGCGAGACAGGTACAAGCCAGTCTCTGTTGCTGTTGTTGCGCCGTTGGCGTTTTCGGCGGGCAAAGGACCAGGGTGCTTTTGTGATGATCCCTTTCGCCTCGTTGTAGCTCCAGCGTCAGCGGATTACTGTTGCACGATTCACCGGTGTTGTACGCGCTCGAGCTGTCCTTTTCCTCCCCGGAGCTGTTGCTTTTCGAGGAACAGTACCATCTGCCGGTTTGCGGAACGATCGTAAGACCGATGGTAGGCGGATTCGTTGCCGAGATGGTGGTCGCTGGCGAGGTATTTGCGCTGGTGGTGGTGGTGGTGGCGGTGGAGATGATAACGGTGGTAGTAACGGTCATGGTGGCGGTGGCGGTCGAGGCTGGTAGCGTGGTCGAGATGGTCGCGGAGTGATTCGGTTGCGGCCAGTGACGATGCTCGTAGGGGGAGGAGTAGATCGGTTCGCTGTCCGATTCTGGAATCGTTTCGTAGATGTGTTCCGTTTCGCTCCAGACGTGATTCGAGTAAGCCTCGGCTAATTTCACCGAACCTGTTCCGGCACAGTTTAACGGTTGTTGACCCGCACGCAGACACAATCCCTCCATCTTTTTCGAACAATCCTTGAGCGCTTCCGGTATCCATTGTTTGCGATCGTGATCGGTCTGTCGCGCCGGGGACGAAGCGTTTCTTCCTGATTTTTGCGAGTTTTGCGAGTTTTGCGAGGAACAAGTCGACGAGGAGGAGGTAGCGGTTGTGATCGTGGTGGCAGTGGGGGTGGGATTGGCGGTGGCGCAGCTGACGATCGCAGAGAACTGGTGTTGATGAGGTTGTTGCAGGGTGTGAGAGGGAACGGGTGGAGGCGCCTTCAACGTGGAAACATCCTCTTCGGTTTCTTTGGTTCGTTCCTCGGTTTGTTGTTGTTGCTGTTGTTGTTGTTGTTGTTGTTGTTGTTGCCGGATCAACTGTTCGATCAAACTGTTCTGGTAGGAGGGTAGATGATCCGGCGAGAGAGACGGCGAGCCCTGAACAGGATGAAGAGTTTAGAGGGAATCGGGGGAGCAGTGGTAGCAATCGTAGGTCGAAGAAGAGACTCACCCGACGATAAGCGCGCCTGTCATCGTACTCGTCGTCCTAAAAAGAGATTTGAAGAAAAGCGTTATTTAGGCAGTGAGAAACTATCGCGGCGCTCTTCCCCCGAACCGCTCGAAAGCTCGGGAAAAAAGGTTTACCTGATAGAGGCATCGACTGACGAGAATGGTTACCGCATTCTTCGTCTCGGCAAATAGGTTCTCCGTCTGCTCTTTGTTCGCCACGTCCTTTCCGTTCACCTGAAACGAGAATGACGAAGCTTACCGACTACCGACACGCTCCAAGCAGAAAGTCTCGGTCCGCAGGCGAAATCCGGCGCGTAGTCACCACGCTCGTTTTTTCATCCGATTTCCCTCGAGTCGACGACCACTTTGTCCGCAATTACGATCCGCCTAACGAGATTAGAAGGGTAGCAGGTTGAAAGGATATCGCGAGGAATTCGTTCGTTGCAGCCTGCGTTAACGGAACGCGGATGGTTCTCGTTCTCGTTCTCATTCTCGTTGCTCGCTAATCGAATCAACCGCTTCGCCTCCTCGTCGTGGCAGTCGTCGACGAGAAGAAGAAGAAGGAAACCGCGGCTACTCTTCAAACTTTATACGATAATCCGCGAAGGAAAGCGTTCAAAGCCGACTCGAACTCAACTTACCCTCAAGATTTGGTCGCCCTCTCGCAATCGACCGTCTCGCGCTGCCACGCTTTCAGGAACGATCTCGGAGATGTAAACTTCTGTATCGGCATCCTCGCTGCCTGAACCCGAACTATAGCACACGGTCAGTCCTAATTTCTCGGCGCTTCCGATTTTTCGCAACGTTACTTCCTGCGAAACAGAGATGTTTCTTCTCTTTCATTTTTCACCTCTCGTCGTTAAAAAGTGGAAAATAGCCCCGCGTACCTCGAAGTCAATGTCGTGCGCGAGAAACTGTTCGAACGGATCGTTCTGTTGTTCGTCTACGCCGAGAGAAACCGGCAACAGCTCCTCCTCCTCTTCGGCCTCCTCGAGGAGACCGGCCCAATCGGTCTGCACCGCGGTCGATACCAGAGTCGGGCAAACGTTGATCGCGTGCTCCTTTTTGCTCGAATCGAACCCTTTTTCCTCGTTTCCCTCGCTCTTCTCGTGCTCCTTCCAAACGGTTCGTTGTCCCTGAATCGGTTGACGACGAAGCACCTCGACGATGATCGGTTCCTGGGCCGATTGAAAGCAACGCACCGCATCCTCGTGACTAGAGTTTGACACGTCCTGTCCGTTTACCTGCGAAACCAAAGAGCGTTGCATCAATGTTATTCGCTTCAAAGGAAACGGGGACAGCCGACGAGTAATTAAAGGGAAATCATGAAAAACGGCAATCTGGTCAGGGATCGAGTTTTATTTATGCGGCGCAACTGTCAATAGAGCCGAGGTCAATTGGCCGAGTGCAAGCAGAACCGTGGAACAAGTGTTCTTCTCTGTGAAAAAAAAAGAAGAAGCGACATTTATATGCAGCTACTCGGCGCAGTGAACGGTTTTTTGATGGTTCCATTACCGTTCTAGGACGAATTTTCTGTACGATCCGTTAATGGAGTTACGGATATTCGTGTCGTTCTTTCTTTCTTTGGTTCGGTAACGAGAGTCGTTGCGTTATTTACGGTTTTAAACGGCGACCGTTTTTTACGAGACCCAGAGAGCTCCCCTAAGGAGCTACTCGTCACGGTTTCTCGCCAAACTTTGTCTCAATTTTTCCTCCCCTTCCAATCTTCATCTCCTTCAGCACCAATTACGAACACAAAGTGGAAGAGGAATAGGAATAGGAGAAAGTGCTTTCGAATGACGCTAGCAAACTCGTCGCGGACGCAAGCAGTAATTAAAGAACGTTCTATCGATAGCGCGTCAGTCACCATCAGTCACCATCAGTCACCAGTTTATAGAAAGTCGCGTTATTCGCGTCGCTCAACTAACGAACGCACCGCGATACCAGTGTCTTTCTTTGCGAAAGACCGGAGAAATTAACGAGACGAAGCTTCTCTTTCCTTTTTATTCGGTATAAATGAACGGACGCACGCGTTATCCCGTCAGCGACCTCCTCATCCCTGATCCTGCTGTTTTCCTTTTCCCAAAGGGAACTTTTGAGGGTCACTAGACAACGCTACTTCCTACTTCCAGACAAAAACTCGAAGAACTTGGATTTATCCGGTCGTCCAATAAAAACTGATTAACGCTATAAATTTGCAAAGGCTCGGTTCAGACACGCGCGGATTTAGTTGGCGCGTGGCTCTACGCGTACACGGAATGAAAAAGGATCGTTTGACTCTGCGCGTGGTTTGCGGCAAAGACGAGGAGCAAAAGTAAAAGAGAAAAGGGAAAAGGGACGAGGCGGTGGGCGAGATGGTAAAGGGTGAGAGAAAGTAAAGAGGGCAAAGGTAAAGGAATAAAGGAAGAAGGAAAAGGAGAAGGAGAAGGAAGGGGTGTAGGGTGGTAGGGCAGAGGGTTGGGGTCGTAGCGATGGAGGAGAAGGGGCGAACGAGCAGGCATTTCTGTCGGCAAAGCGTAGATTGCGAGGCGAATGGCGAGGAAAGCTGCTGCCGAGGGAGAAGGAATCGCGTTGAAGGAAGAAAAAAGCGAGCCGTCAAGCTGTCGCTCGCGTTCCGTAAACACGGAAGTCTGAAGTGCTCCGGCTTTGAACACCGACGACTCCCGAACGACGACGACGACGACGGTGACGGAGAACGTTCCCGTGGCTACGATCGTGATATAGACGAAAATCGTCTTCCAACGTTTCATCTTTTCGATTTTCAGCACGAATGTTGGAATACAGCTAAATAAATGAAATCGGACGAAAAACGTTGAAACTTTTACTCGGCCAGAGAAACCTTCGATCGCGGTCAACGCAGCGAAAAAGTTGCTGTCGCGGTTTTCGAGACGAGCGAAACCCGGACGCGCTTTTGAGAACGAAATGGAACGAAATGAAAGGGAATGGTAGGGGATGAAAGGGGATGGAGTGGTCGTGGAACGGAAGCAGTGGCGTGACGCGATAATCGCGATGGGACAGCTCCGACAGCCGTCAGATCGGACACGGACAGAGACGGATGGGAGGCAATTTAAAATCGCGCTTCGGTCTTATCTCGTGCCACGGTCACCACCCTCTCGCTGCCACCGATCTCTTTGTGCCTCTTTCTCGCTTTTCCACCTTCTTTCCACCTTGTCCATCCTCGACAAGAGAATGAAAATGAACAAACTTGAAAATTTTTTCATTTCTGTCAAACATCCCGGTAGACGCGCGAGTCTAGGACGAAGGTATTCGGAAATTTACGCGTTCAAACACGCTCGTTGCTTTCTCCAGGGAACGAAGCGGAAATCGTCGAGTCCGCGTTTACGGCGACGCGACGCGACGTCGCGTCGTGACGCGCGGAAATGTCGGTCGAGGAAAAAGGAACCGGATTCGCGCGGGATTTCTAGTTTACCCAGCATAACGACCGTCGCGTCATCCTATGTAAACTCGAGCTTCGCCTCGTCTCGTTCGCCTTTCGCCCACGCCCATGCCACGCCGCGCCACGTCAGGAATCGTACCTCGTTCGTTCTCGAGTACGTGTTCGACTCGACTCGATCGCGAGCTAGACTCCGATAGAAGCATCTCCGAGTTAGATAACAGCCGTTCATCTTTCTTTTCTCGTACATCCATCTGTCCGTCGAATACTCCTTCGTTTCCCGTCTGCCAATTAAAAAACGTAGCATCGAACCTTTTTTGACCCTTCGAGAAATGCTTCGATTCGGAAATTTTGCAACTACATATAGTTTATCTATACCCGGAGAAAAGGAAGGTATCGCGAGCCGGAGTCAACGAACGGATTAAAGATCATCCGCGTTACCGTCCCGTCCCGTCCCACCGCACAACGTTCCGCTATTTCCGCGTACGGCTTTTCTTTCCATCCGTTGTTTTTTTGCAACGGTAGGCGCTTATTAGCGCGACGCGGTGCATGGATCGATGGATCGATTCTTCGAACGGAAAGATGACGATAAATCCGCTGATACCGACGAGAGAAGAGACGGTAGGGGCGCGTGAAGGGTAGGCGAGGAAGGTTCTGATGAAAATAGCTGTGCGCGCAGCGAAAGACGAGTGAGAAAATTGAACGAACAGAGAAAATGTGCTCGTACAGGTTGAGAAGCATGGAAACATCGACGGATCACGCTCGTCTATACTTACGCGAGCTCGGCTCTAGCTTCGGATTAACGGGGAAACTACCTCCCGTTCGCGTTCGGGAAAGAAAAGGAAAAAGAATTTAATTTCCGTTTGTTCTTCTTCCTTTCTGCGCGGCAAGTAATAAGCGGCAGAGCATAGGTCTTTCCCCGTTTTGTCAGCACGATTCAAGTGGCTCTTCTCCGAAACGACTCGTCCCGTCTCGTCCCGTTTATCCACGGCCTTAACTTTTCATCGCATTACCCCGCAAACTGTATCGTTCACCCTTGACCGCATCATATGGAAATTTACATCTCGATTCGTTATCGGATTTTCTCGATCCCTCGGTGAGCTGCGACCGTAATTCGATCGGATAGGTTGCGCGTCGATCAAAATTCGGAGGGTAGCTGTGAAAAAAGGATCGTCATAAGATTCTCATTCGATTGCGATTGCGATCGTTCCTCCCTCTACTCGATGTTCTCCTTTCTTTTCTTGTTAGCTGGCGACGAGGTCACAGACGAGGAGGTTTAATTCGCGAGGAACGGACAGCGGAGATGGACGCGCGAACGTGAGCGAAATGGATAACAGGGCAAAGAAACGAGGAACGAACGAGCAACCGGTCCAGTGGCAAAACGCCAGCCGACGTTGTCGCGTCTTCTATACATCCCCTTCGAACGAAACTACTTTCTCATCCGTTATTCTCCAAAATAGTCGTTCGCGTTGCAGTTTCCAGTAGAGTTATCGTAGAGAAGGTTGGAAGTATTATGCCGAATCAAGTAAGGAGAGTCGCGGTGGGTATCTTATTGTTAGTTAAACCGCTCAATTCACCGAACAACGCAACGCGTCGCTTCTTCGCTGAAGCGTACAACCGCGTCGTCGTTGCGACGTCCTCCGCGCGTGAACGAACACCGTTCCGCGCGAGATCCTCGCCCTTTCGAGCGCGAACCGTCCCTTTGCTCGTCCAGCCACGCATCGTCGACCGTTCTACGCGACCATCCTACCCGATATTCCAAAGCTAGCGACCGAACTGAAGGAGAAGCGGGCAGCTAGCCGGTAACTGGAGGTCTGCCAGGCACAGCTTCTCGATTAATTTATTCCGTCTGGAGCCGGTCGCATTTTCCCAGGAAACGCAGAGAACGCATGAAACGCAGGAAGCCTGCTCAGACACCATGACGGGATCCGGTGGTCGCGATGCCGCGATTTGCCCAGACGGACCAACGCGGTCGATGATTTTACCTCTCCGTCCGCTTCGTCCGCAAACGTTTCCCCTTTGGCTCTCGCAGAGCCTCTGACGCGACAATTTCCTCGACGACGAGGAAACACTGGAGAAGCGATAACTCTACTCGTCGCGATAGCGGCAGCTGCTAAATCACGTCGGGCTTCGAAATTTAGGTCCGACGATGTTACTGCCATCGGGGTTACCCTGGCTCACCGCTTGTCGCGCTAATCCAACCGACGAGAGTTCGATATCGCGTTTCCATGATTGCAGTTTCGAGGACGCGTGGCTAATTTCGTGCGCCAAGTTAAATGCGATTAGAGCCTCTATTACGGTCCGTTAACCTCTCGTTGCTCGCAGGGCTAGGCGGCAGGGTGGCGGCTCGTGCCTAACCTCGCCACCCTCCAGCTCCCACCCATTTCCACCGAAAATCTCTCCATCAATTCCCGCGCGACAACGCGCCCCGTTATTTCGAACCTTGTTTTCCGCGACTAGTCGCGGTTACATATTGGTTATTTTCGAGCAAACGCTGTTCACGCAACGACTTGGTCACCCTCTTTACGCTCGGTCACTTTCTTCCGGTCGAGAAGCAGCTCTCTTCCGGAAGACGGACACCGAACGAATTCAAGTGTTCGGCACGCTTTACCGAGCAACCAACAAACCCTCACCTGGATGCGCTTCGAACGCGAATAAACCTGTTATCCGTTGAATAACGTGGTTCCATCGAAAACCCTGTTAACGAACGAACGAGAAGGGTAGACCGAAGCGAGCCGACCGGAACAACGCCAACTGGAAGCTCCAAGAAGTACCTTCGATTCTCGTCAACGCGATCAAATCAAATTTTAGCCTCCTCGAGCCGTTAATGTCCTTTCTGCTATCCAGTTC